CCGAGAACACAAGTTGACGTGCAAACCTGAGAAATGCGAGTTCCATGTAGAAGAAACCGAGTACCTAGGTCACATCATTGGCCATGGGAAACTTCACATGGATCCTGCAAAGGTTGCCGGCATTGCAGAATGGCCGGAACCCAGGTCCAAGAAGGACGTTCAGCAGTTCCTCGGATTTTGTAATTATTACAGACGTTTTGTAAAAGGCTTCGGCTCCTTGGCTAAGCCTCTTTCGGACCTTACGGGCAACCGGGAATGGGAATGGACAGACACTGAACGAAGTGCCTTCCAAGGCCTCAAGGACCTCCTTACCTCGGCCCCAATCGTACACATACCTACGGACGAGGACCCATTTATGGTAGAAGTAGATGCTTCGCAATTCGCCCTCGGGGCAGTTCTTATGCAGAAGCAAGATAATCTTTGGGTACCAGTATCGTACTACAGTAGGTCGTTCAAGGACGCCGAGAAGAACTATCAAGTATACGATAGGGAACTTCTCGCTATTGTAGATTGTCTAGAAGAATGGCGACACTACTTAATACACGCTAAACATACTGTACAGATCTTCACTGATCACCTTAATCTGACCTATTTTAGGAAACCTCAGAAGATCAACCCCCGACAAGCACGTTGGATGTCATTCCTCGCTGAATACGATTTCGAACTCCATCATATCCCAGGCAAGAAAAACAGCGCAGCAGACGCTCTTAGCAGACGCCCAGACTATGACGATGGTATGGATCACTTGGATAATCAGGTCGTATTACCTGCCGAGTTGTTCCGGAGTACCAAAGTTGTGGGGACAGATGCCATCCGTGACCTCTGCGCCATACATTCTTCCGAATATTTATTATGGAAAACTTTGCCTCAAAAGGAGCTCGAGTCAGCCGAGGACGGCACACTCTGGAGGGGGGGTGAAATTCTCATAATCCCAAATAACCAAGAAATAATCGGCAAAGTAATACAGTCCCACCACGATGCCGCGTTCATGGGACACCCAGGAATAGAAAGGACCATGGAATTAATCAAGCGATCGTACTGGTGGCCGGAGATGATCAAGGATGTTACGGCGTATGTGAAAGGTTGTGGGACCTGTCAAAAGGCCAAACCTAACCGCCAACATAGGTCAGCACCATTGGAGCCCAATCCAGTTCCAGATCATAACTGGCAGTACATCTCCACGGACCTTATTGTAAAACTACCTACTGTAGATGGGTACGACTCCATCCTTGTATTTGTAGACCTGAAGTCGAAAGACTTTATCGCTATACCCTGCACGGAGTCGATTAACTCGAAGGACTATGCGGACTTGTACATTAAACATGTAATGTCGGCACACGGACTAGCAGAAAGGATATGGTCCGACAGGGGACCACAGTTCGTATCCTCGTTTACTAAGGATGTATACCAACAGTTGGGCGTCCAGGGTAATCCTTCAACTGCCTACCACCCTCAGACGGATGGGCAGACCGAACGGATGAACCAGGAAATAGAGACCTACTTGAGGATATATACTTCTTATAGACAGGACGACTGGCCATCCAAGATACCCCTCGCTATGTTCGCATACCGAAACCATAGACAAGCAAGCACCGGTTATACCCCATTCTACCTTACGCATGGATACCATCCCTACACGGGAGTCGAAACCAGGAAAGAACCCCGCAACCAATCGGCCGAAGAATGGACAAAAGAGATGGAGGAACTTTCCAAGGACGCGACTAATCACCTTACTAAAGCAAAAGGTATAATGAAGAAGTACCACGATGGCAAATACCCGGACCATGCAGCTTATACCAAGGGCGATCTGGTACTACTAGAAGGAACTAATATTACGACCACTCGACCAAGCAAGAAGCTGGACGATAAACGTTACGGACCGTTTAGTATAGTAGAAAAGGTCGGGAAGTCGGCATTCAGACTCAAGCTTCCACCAGCTTGGTGTCATATACACCCCGTCTTCCACGAATCCCTATTGATACCCTACCACCCTGCACAATTTAGCGTACAAAAGGACGATACTACTATACCCGTTCCGGAAGGCGAAGCCCCTACCATTAGCCAAATCCTCGACAGTAAAAAGTCCAAGACTGGACTATTATACTTGGTCAAATGGAAAGGGAAGGACGACACCGAGAACACCTGGATACCCCGCTCTACTATAGCAAAGGACTACATCCTATTACTTAATAACTTCCATAAACTACATCCCAAGGCGCCCAAACCGCCTAATCTCCTTACTATACCCGGTGGTCAAAGGATCCGCGCTCAAGAAGACGAAGAAAGCGACGATGAACCTGACAGTAAGGGAGGAAAAAGGACGGAAGAGGAAGAGGAAGAGTGGAAGGAAAAGATCTACTGGGATCACAAAATGATACGATGGTACAAGCGCAAGTTCCAAGCCCATGTCGTACTTCACGTACCCCTCGATACCCCAATCGGCCTAGAAATAGGGCTGCCTGAGAAGTTCGACGTCGTTTGCATCTGGCTAGCGAATCCAGACCACTATATCCACACGGTCTTATTCGTTGGAACCCCCAAGTCGCGCAACCATCTATTTGTATACCCAGTTAACGCCCAGTGGATCGTAGAAGAAGGAAAGGTCCAGTGCCCGGAGCGCACTCACGGCTATTATTATCTCGATGATGCACCAATACCCTGGCAACGTATGCGTTTCAAGGATACCCCGGTGAAGGAGGAGGACGTCTCCAACTATACCACATATAACCCGGAACGTCCTCGGACACCGATACCCAAAACCAAATGGAACCTACAAGCTGTACACCCGCGCATCTACGACTAGAATTCAAGCCTCGTGAGGACACTTCGGCCTGGAGGGGGGGTACTGTCACGGTTTTTCCGTGCCATAAGTCTCAAGCGCCCACGGACCATTATTTATCCACCTAGTTACCATATATAGTATGTACCACTACGCCTCCACGTGTATATCCTAGTATACCCACGCCACGCGGACATCCCTCGGACAAGTATCAGTCACGTGACCCTACGTCATAGTGACATCATAGGTCTGGACTCCATAGACACTCCTAGACTTAGACGGACTCCACTAGACCCGGGCACGCCATAGTACGCCATAATGATGTATTATTACAAACCTAGGGTACGCAGGGTCTTACACCCAGTACCAGGGGTCTGGCCCCTCTTGTATATATACCCGCTCGAGCTGAGGCCTACCCCTCAGTTTCGAGTTGGTCTTTACTCCTCCACTTAAGCTAAAGATCCCTGACGGGATAGGCGAGAGCGGACCCAGGAGTTCCTGAGATCCTTCACAGACCTGGGACCATAAGCGCGACGCGGTGGCCACCGGGGAGCGACATCGTCCGAGCTTGATTCCACCGTTAAAGGTCGCTGAGACTTAGCCTCTGTTTGGTCTAGTAAACGCTTTAGCGATATTGCGCTCCACTGTCGTGCAGGTTCCCTCTTCTCACTTCGTCTTTCGCTTCAGTTCCGGTCCTTTACACTGCTTACCTTACTCATTTCTTCATCCGGTTGTCGCATGGCGAATCAGGTATGCATAGCCCTACTGTTTTACTTCATTTTTCTTACTTATCATTGCTCATTCTAGGCATTCTGAGTGCGTGGGCTGCTGCCCGTCTTCTCTCGCCCTTCATCGCTAACAGTTTTCGCACAGATCGGATGCTTCTTTTCACACACACACGCACGTGGTATATTTCTGACCGCGAGCATCCGGGGCCGAATGGTGTTCGCGGTGCTCGGTCCCGGTGCGCACTGTGTGCTCTGGTAAGTGGTATCCACCATTGGTGTGACAGTAATATACACAGTGCGCGGTGTGGCGTTTCTCTCATCTGACTTCATGCATAGTTTCCTGAGGATTCGCTGACGCTCGTTAGCCAACGTCAGTCCTAGCGCAGATTTTTTCGTGGCCCTCCGGACAGGTACTCAACCTGCGGTTGACGGGTCGAGGAAAGCCTGAGAGCTCCGAATAGCCCAGCTTGTCATGTGTGATCGTCAATTGGGTGGTTGGGACAGGCTACCAACAAAGACTGACATCGTTCACATCCTGCCGCGAGAGACTATGAACTTGCTATAAATAGGTGCTCACGAGAATCCAAGGACTCCTATAACGATGTGATTGCACGATGACGATTGTCCTTGTGCCTTTGATGGGTGAAAGCGTCTGGACCGTATAGCTGGCGCAATAGGAGGGAGACCAGGACCTGGAAGCCATGAATGGAATTTCGTTCATTCTGTCAAGCGAGAGCATAGAGGAACGACCGTCTTCTTCTACGAAGGCTAAAGTGAGATGGTGAGATACTCGTAGAAGCATCAGTACCCGCTTGTCGACTGCAATGTCGTACGAATACCAGGTATGGGGCCGATATGTCCTCGTATGTATTCGTGTTCGCACAAGTGTCAAGGTACAGCCGAGCAGAAGTGCACAAAGGAGTTAACAGACATGGCCGATCTATACAGACGATACAGTAAGAGTTGACGCTAATCACAATGCGGCAGTTATGAGTGCCTGACAGTCCCGAGGACGCGCGTGTGGCGCCGAGTCCTCCTTACGTCCGCCGTGCGTATATTCTCCTCCTCTTTCCCTCAGTCCGGAAGAAAATTCCGCGGCCTTGTCTGCGGAAATGTGTCGAACTGACCGCCCCTTACCGTGTCAGAGAATGACACGCCGTCAACTTGCGATGGCGGCTGCTCGCTCGCCGCCGCACGAGCTGCTGTGCTTGCGAGTTGTGCATTAGACTGCCTGGGTAATGCTGTTCCAGCGAGCGCATGTATCAGCGTATCAAACTGTGTTTCGGCACAATCAAAACGCTACATCAATGCAATTAGTCTCCTCGATAGCTCGTATATCAACATCTCACATCTTCACAGCTGTCAGCCAGGCGCCCAGTTCCGCCTCCGACAATATCCCCTGTGTTCGACTTCGTCCTCGACCATCCCCACAGACTGTCCTCGCTCCTCTCCCCTCCGTGAGGTCTCTCCTATCCACAGCCAGCAAATCCACTATGCAGTCATACGCCTTTCCAGCATCTCATCCCCGCACGTTGCCCTCGCCCTCCTCCAGCTCGGTCTCCTGGTACTCCCCCGTCACCCCTCCCGAGCCTCTCTCCCAACCCGAGACTGCATCGCATAGACACAAGTCACTCTACTCCCGTTCCTCGCTCTCCCCATCCTACGACGGAGTCCGCTATTCCACCCCTGTGCGCTCGACTTCTCCCACCGACGCTAAACTAAGCCCATCACTATTACCCATCGGGCGTCCGCCTGCTCCAAACCAAACTCCTGAGCGCAAGACCCTGCCCGTCGCCACCGGCCTCGGGATCGTCGACCTCGCCCGGCTCGCCGCCCTTCCCTCTCCCGAGGAAGAGCCTTCCCGTGAGGAGCGCGCCCACCGTCGCCGCGCCGTGCATTTCCACTCGCGTACCCATTTCTCCGAGGCTATCCGTGCCAGCCTTGCACGCCCGCTTGCACTTTCTCCACGCTCTCCACCGAACGCCGTGAGCATAAAGTCGGGTACGTATCGCATGATATCCTGTTACTATACGCGACGGACTCACAAGCGCGAGTAGACGCCACTGAGACCGATGAGAACGACTTTTCCTGGGAGGCCCAGTCTGAGCTCCCTTCTGTCTCGCCGTCTCCCGAGCCAGAGCTTGGGCATCACTCCCCCTTTTCCTGTGCCTCGTCAGTCTCGTCTTCTGGCTGTTCCTCCCTGTATTCGATCACACGTTCTCTCGCCGCCGCATTTCCCGCTCCTCCATCTTCCACGCCCGAATTCCCGCTTTCTCTCGCCTCTGGCTTTGCACTACGAGGTGCTTCGGTACCGCACCTCTCACCGCCAAATATTCCTCTCCCGCCTGCCCCCTCCACACGTCCGCGTCCGCAAGTCCACATGAGCGCTGGATGCGTACCCACCGGGATGAATAGGCTCACTGTCGTTGACCCGGACGAGAGCATGGCGCGCCTGGAGTTGAGCATCGCGAAGCTTGCGGCGTACGGCCCGGAAGTGCATGGCAAGCAGCTCGAGGAATACGATCGCGACCACGGAACGATCGGCACGGGCTGTTTCTTCGATAGCGACAGCGAATACGACGAGACGGACGGTGAGGCTGAGAAGGACATCGATAGCGACATGTTTTCTGCATCCGGCTCGGGATGCCCGCACTCAACTCCCTCGCTCGAACCCATCGGCGAGGACTCGCGTGAAGCCGAGTCCGCGCCAAATGATAGACTCATCATGGAGAGCGCGCATGAGGGCGCGTCTTCCAGCGCAGACTCGGCGCCACAGATAACCGAGCATTTCCCCTCGCCGCCGCTTCTCACGCCGCCGCCACTCCTCACGCCCAACACGTTCGGCCGCGTGGGCTTCTCACCATTCGCGTCGGCAGCGGGCACGTCCGTTGCGGACGACCCAAGCGCAGCCCCGCCCACGAGGCCACAGCTGCCGCAGTTCGACTTTGAGAAGTCACGGAAGGAAAGGCAAAGGCAGAGATCGGCATCGCTTTCTAACGCAAAGGTGGATGTCAATGCTGCGGACGGTGAGAAGAGGACGGGAGATGTCACTGCTACCTTTGATCGTCTCCAAGCATACGCTCAATGGGAGTCTGGCGCCGTGAGCGCCCGCAAGTCTGATGCCCATCACGATGGCGGCGCTGAGGCTGTTCATACCGCTGTCACCACGGGCGCGCGCCCCGAGTCTCCACTGCGGAAAGCCAAAAGTGTGCCGTTCATCCGGCGCCCCGTGCGACGCAATAACCCCCCCGCGCTGCCGCACCCTCCTCTGCTACCCACGTCCACGTCGCTTCCCACAAAGCTCGCGCCACCGACGTTCTTCCAGAGCCCGCGGGAGGCTCCGCAACC